TTCTGTTCTCAAGTGCTATCTTATCATAATTCATTATTGTTGGCTGCTGGTCATTATCTTTGTTTGTTTTGACTACCTTTGCATGTTGCAATTCATTGTAGGTTCCTTTAGGAGCTGGCATTGCTTTAGCATGCAAGTACTTTGGCAAAGATGAGATTTGCCTGACATTGTATGGTGATGGTGCTGCCAATCAGGTAAGCGTCAAGCTTTACTCTGTAGTTAGAAGTTAATTAAGAGTCACATAAGTGGAAAGGAGATGCAAATGCTATGGATTATGCATGATAAGTCCAGTTTTGTGCAAAGTGAAATGAAATTGCCCAAGTTGTTCTACCTGCTATCGGGGGGGGGGGGAGGAGCACAGAAGCCCAAGGCTCACCAGTTCGTTCCTGCTTGTACATACAGTTATGGTCTAGGGCAGTGTTCCCCAACCTTCGGCCTCCAGCTGTTTTTGTACTACAACTCCCATCATCCCTCGCTAGCAAGACCAGTGGTCAAGGTTGATGGGAATTGTAGTCCAAAAACAGCTGGAGGCCCAAGGTTGGGGAACACTGGTCTAGGGAACACAGCCACTGTATGTGTAATTCAAGGCTGATGGCTACATGAGAAAACTGAAAGTGTACCAAACCTTTTATTCTTCTAGGGCCAGATATTTGAAACGTATAACATGGCAGCCTTGTGGAAGTTGCCATGTATTTTTATCTGCGAGAACAACAGATATGGAATGGGTACTTCCGTAGAGAGAGCTGCAGCCAGTACAGACTACTATAAGAGAGGAGACTATATTCCCGGGATTAGGGTAAGAACATTTTTAATAGGAATGTGAAAGTTATACTATGTCCATCCAAGGAAGTTCAACTTTATTCTTAAATGTAATTGCCTTTTTTTTTTTTTAAATCAACAGGTTGATGGCATGGATGTTCTTGCTGTAAGGGAAGCAACAAAATTTGCTGCTGACCACTGCAGATCAGGAAAAGTAAGTTATGCTTTGTGTGCGTGGCGGGCCTCTCCTGCTTTACAAATTATGTAAGTATAGCTGAGGTTTTCAAGTTAGAAATATTACTATTTTATTTCACAAAATGTATACCCAAAACACAGGGTTTAGAAGGTTCTCCATAATTACCTTGTGAACCTCAAAGCAACCTTCCAAAAAAAAACCTGTGTTTATTGGGTTGATAATGGAATAGGAAAGAGATAGTGTTTCATTCTGTGGCCCTCTGAAGCAATCTGATCTTAAACAGCAGCACAGTTGATTGAGATTAGTTGTCATGACGTCTTATTGGCAATTTTTTGTCACTATTTTTAAGTTATTAATACCTCTGAATTTTAATTTTGTCAGGGTCCTATTGTGATGGAGCTACAGACATATCGTTATCATGGACATAGCATGAGTGATCCTGGAGTCAGGTATTTCTCTCTGCATTACAGACGGTTCCTCTCTAGATAGTATGGGGGAAATAGCTGCATGTTCAAATGTCCCCTCGTTTTCTGTCTATATCATCTACATTTTCAGTTAGTAGATCAGTAGTCTCCTCTTATCTCCCTATTATTGGCTTTTTAACAAATATCAAGGGCATGTTGGCCCTTTGTGGCTAGTTTTATTATGTATTCAAAGCAATATCTGAAGAATGACTGACTGTACAGGTAACAACAGATCATTATCTCCTGTTGAGAGGAAGTGTAAACTTTGGACTTATACCCTTCCTCTCTTGGATAGCTATAGCCTGCAGACCATGTATTTTGGTGTGCGTCTTTCACAATGGCAAGCTTTGCTTCTGGTTTAGGATCCTAGTTTGTGTGTAAGCTGGTTTGTTGCTATGCAAGAGGTTGCACAAAGGGAAAAAGAAGATGGAGCATATAAGCCCTCGGCTTGTGCCTGGTCATATTAATAGCAGCAAACTATGATTTGCTATTACGTATGAATACAACCATTCTAAAAAAATAATGACAGTACCCAAATTTTATGAGGCAAATGTGAAAAATACCCAAGAAACTTGATTGTTTCCATTATCTTGCTTTTCTTTTTGTGTGCTTCATTATGGTTAATAGCTACCTACAGGAACATAGATACCTGGCTAACACTGAGGCAGGGCATTGGTTCCATCTAGCTCCATAGTGGCTGCACTGGCTGGCAGCACCTCCCCAGATTTTCAGGTGCGTCTCTCCCAGCTCTACAAGGCTATGCTGGGTAGGGAACCTGTGACCTTGTGCATGTAAAGTAGATGTGCTACCATTCAGTTATAGCGCTTTCCTAAAGGGGACCTAAAAAACTAAAACTGCAAGCTGGTATGATATGCAATTTAATGTAGGCAAATATCTGGCTAAAAGGTTTTAATTAAGCATATGCTTAATTTTGTTCTATTCCTAATTACATCTGCTATGCCCATTTCCTTTTTTTGTATTGCTTTTAATTCTTCACAGTATGTTTGAACGAAGATGAAAACTCTTAAACTCAACTGTATAAATATAAATGCATGTTATAAAATAGTACATAGAAAATATATCTAAGAGTAGCAGTACATAAGGACTGTTTAATTGATATACTGTGGTTCTAAAATAGTTTGCCATGAAATGAAATTTGCCTAAAGTCTCTCATGAGTAGCAAGTACTCACTGAAAGAGGAGCTGCTTCCTCTCCCTCCCTTACCCACAGCCAGGAGGGAGAGGTGGTGGTCCTACCCCACATCTGTGTATCACATGTGATAGTTCTCCTTAGCACCGAGTGCATTTAATGCTATCTGCTGTTAGTGGAGCCCTGCCCAGAGCTGTGATGCAGAGGTACAAGGAGTATGTTCTTTGAAGGTTGATAGTTATTTTTAGAGTGCCATGTGCATTTAATTTTTTGTTCTGGAAAAAAGTATACTGAAACGACAATATATTTTTTAAATGCTCAGGCCACTACATGCTACCAGCTTATATGCCTATTTTACCTTGTGGCTTACTCCCCTCATTAAAAAAATATAGCCAAGAGGACCAGTCTGCTTTGGTGATTAGCAGATGTAAAAACTGCTCCTGAAAGCTCTCCTCTATTACTTGTCATGCTTGTTAGAGAATATCCGATTTACCTCAGTATACTGTTGCAATAAGAGTACCAGTTATTGCAAACAGTTCAGCAGTCTGTTACATTGTCTCGTCTTTTTTTTACAGTTACCGAACAAGGGAAGAAATTCAAGAAGTGAGAAGCAAAAGTGATCCCATTACACTTCTAAAGGACAGAATGGTGAACAACAACTTGGCTAGTGTGGAGGAGCTAAAGGTAATAAACCTTCATTTGATGAAAATCATTTTACAAAAGTAGTTTAATAGGAAGTCTTCACCTCAAATCAGCAAGCCAGAATTGGTATAGGATATCCTGTGGGGCAGTGTTTACCGAAGGGTACATGGCAGAATTTTTAATTTTATCTAATCATTGTTCTTTAGCTATAGAAAACAGTTTAAAGATTAAATTGGTTATTTAAACTACCACATTATCTTCAACTGAGAAGGGGTCTATGATTATTGTAAATTTGGGAAACACTGCTATTTTGGTATAGGGGCCTATATTGCCTAGTGAAACATGTCAGTTTCCTCAGGGAATGACATTTGCACAGCCATTGCCTTCTCATATTTATAACCCGACTTTCTGAGGAGTCCTGATATCTGGTATATGGGATTTGTCACAGTTGGCCCTTTCATCAACCCTGCCGGTTTAGGTTGAGGAAAATTTTGAATTGGAATTCTGCTAGTCACTACAGCTGAAATCATTTGCTGCAGGAACAGGGTTAGTGGATTTGCTAGGAGAGTCCCAGGTCTGTTGCCAAAGTGGAACTAAAGAGTGAGGATCATTGATGAGCATGATTGGTCATACATCTCTCTCAGCATGGGAGATGTGTTCTGCTCTGGAGTGAAGCAGCTGTTACACACCTTCATCTAATCTATAGCTTATGAAAACATGCCATGTCCTGCCACAGTTAGTAACTTGTAAGTTATTCTGGTAGTTTGCTGGCTAATTGTTCAAATATAAAAAGGTAAAATGTTCCGTGTGCAGCATACATGTGAGAACTGCTTATCAGGATTTCATCTTAGGGAGGGCAGAAACTCTTAACAGCAACTGTGGCTTAAATGTTTCCGGATTTACTTTGAACCCCAGCATGTACAGTGGTGCCTCGTAAGACGAAATTAATCCGTTCTGCGAGTCTCTTCGTCTTGCGGTTTTTTCGTCTTGCGAAGCATGGCTATTAGCGGCTTAGTGGCTTTAAGAAAAAGGAAACAAACTCGCAAGAACTCAAAAGACATTTCGTCTTGCGAAGCAAGCCCATAGGGAAATTCGTCTTGCGAGGCATTCGTCTTGCGGGGCACCACTGTACTACAGAGGTAAATAGTACTCTGAGGTTTTATAATGTTTGATGCATATGGAGTCTTTTGTTTCCATTGACAAATTTTCCCCTTCTCATACAGGAAATAGATGTGGAAGTAAGGAAAGAGATTGAAGACGCAGCACAGTTTGCCACAAATGATCCTGAACCACCTCTGGAAGAACTAGGCAATTATATCTACTATAAGGAGCCACCCTTTGAGGTGCGTGGCCCAAATCAGTGGATTAGATATAAATCTGTGGGCTAAGTGAATTGTCACTCCAGCAACCAGTTAAATTAATGCATTTTATACTGGGCTTTAATTATTTTATCTGCTCTAAGAAATAAGAGCAAAACTATTTCTCATGTATATGGGGAAAATTCATTTGGCAGCAAAATAGCCATTGTATGAGACACAGCATTATATAGTGTGGAATTCTAAAAAACAGCTGCTCAGAAAAGGTCAATAAGCATTGCTTATTAATTTATATATATAAGCTTCATTGTGTTCTGGATTGCTGTATTTATGAAAGTTATTTAGCTGAAACCTCTTACGTACAGTAAAAAAAAGGCATATTAAAACTTCCTGAGCAGATATTTCCCATGAGCTTTTTGTATGTTTTTGTATTTGCATCCCCCCATCCGAAATGATTTTACAACGAAAGGGAGCCTTTTTCAGCATGTTTTATTTTTACCTTTTTAATATGCACCTAGAGTGAGTTTGTAACCCACTCTTTGCATAGAATCTTTGTACCAACTGGTTTTTTTATCTTATAAAATTATACATAGTAATAATTTATATTAAATCAGAAGGCAGCAATTACTGTTTTTAAAAAGCAGCTGGCATGCCTAGAACACTATGTATTTGCTATGAGTGGTTAAAGTGCACAGGCTACATTTTAGTCTATAAGGCAAGCAGTTTCCAAGCTACTGTATTATTTACACATCTGGAAAAATACATGATTAAGTATACTAGTAGAAAAGGCTATCATCACACGACTTTAATATAACTTCATATATATATATTAGTGCAAAACCTGTAGGACCAGTATAAACAGTATGTACAGTAATTAATAACTTAGTTGGAATGTGTGCTCTCTTCCCATTTCAATTTCTCAGAACTTGGTATAAGAGTTATGCTTCCAATTCCAAGAGTTTATTCAGTTTTCTGTGCTTTAATATTTCATTCCATATTCGGCAAAGAATACCACCACTGTATGAGAAAAATAAGAATAGTAAGTGTCTCAAACTCTTGTTTGGAAGTCAAAACACTTCTGGAATCTTGCAATTATTTCCTTACCGGAGTCTAAGGAATCGCAAGTCATCTTTAGTGATGTGGTTTAGAACATCACTGAGTGTATAATCCTCTTGAACAAACTGAAAGAAAAAATTATTTCAGTGTTTCTAAATATTATTCAGAAAATGAATTTTGAGGGTCTTTCCCACTCTTAATCTTACCCTATCAATTGTATCTGAATCGGCTTTCTGTTGCTTCAACCACTTGATCAGTTCTTGGTCTACGCAGTGCTGAAGAGCAGATGGAGGTGGTTGAATTTCTGCAACAATTCAAAGTAGGTTAATCAGATTCATTCCATTGTTACAAATTCAAAAGCTCTACTCAAAAGTGTTGTGTGTTCTAAAGCTCAAGCCATTCCTATCAACTGATCACACACATTTAATGTACATTCTCATATCTACCAGCAGTTTTCAACTGTAGCTGAAGGAGATGCAAGTCTTGAATTCTTTGCTCCAGTGTTTGCCTCAGCAGTGTCTGGTATTCTCTCTCCCTCTGTACCAGGCTCTCCAGTAACCTATTAAATAAAAGAGGGGTCAGACTTGGGTATGACATAACATTTCCCCCTTAAAATGTTTCATGATAGTAGTATACTTTTAATGACAACAAAACCTAGTTCTGCAACACAAGTATTTTGGTGAATCTGATACTTATATTTTAGTTGTAGTGCAGCTTGGTATGTCAAAAGCACATGTAAAAGTGTCTCTCATCATATGGCTTACCTCAAAACAAACCCTACATATCTTTGAATTACTGGCTACCTGCCTTGATTTTCAAATGCTATACAATTTAGATTTCTGTGCTGAAATGGTTCCTAGATTTCTACTTAACCCCAGGCTTCATAATTAAATATTCCAGCACTATCAGCGTGTTACTTGCTGCTGCTATAGTGATAGAAAACCACAATACAGACGGTCAGACTATGAAAGGAATTTTATACACACTTTCCATCAGTGTTGGCTAAAGTAAGTGCTGCTCTCAAAGCATACATGTTATAGTTCTCCCTGTAAAGGCACCCTGGAACATTTAGGACACATTTTACATTTACATTTGTAACACGGAAAGGTAACATTTAGCCTGAAATAGAGACGCTGCACATGGAGTGCTGCTCTAGAAGGGGAGGGGGAGGAAAAGACAAGATGCAGCCCTCAGCACTACACAACTGAGTTTTCTAAAGTCTAGATGAAAGAATGTGAGTGCCAAATTAACCCTGTATAAACCAAGAGTAGCTAAACTGGCTACAATTTAAAAGCTAGCCAATAACCAACGTTGGCTCGTCTGATTGCCTGAAGGTGTTTTATAAACACCAGCAATAATCAGTAAAATGGATGAATAAGCCTGAGCACACTTTAAAGCTGTTAACCTGTTTGTTTCTTGCTTAAGCTTGCCCAACTGCAAGCTGAGCTGCTCCTGAGTGTCAGGGGTCACAGAAGACGTGAGCATGCACACTCCAGATGTGATAACTGTTTCTTCGTGTCTTTTTTGCTGTGCCTGCTGGTAATCCTCATCTACTTCATCTGCATCTTTGTCAACTCCTTCAGTCTCTGATGCTGGTTCAAAGTGAGCTCGAAGTTCTGCACAGAGCAAAAGAGAATTGCAGAGGTCAAGCATTTCTTACATTTGCCACTTCAATATCATCTAGTCAGCAAGCTTTTTCTGAGTATAAATAAAATGCAGCTGTCCTTCCTAGTCCCATTTCAGAAAATACAGTTGCCTAGGGAGTTCCTTGATTTTAAGAAATGACAAACTAATAATGGTCTAATGTGTGGCAACCTTTCAAAAGAACAATTCGTGAGGATTTGTAGTTAATGTTTCTGTCCAGACTAATATTCACAAATACGTTGGTCTGTAAAGCATGTTTAACAAAAAAATTCAGTCTTCAGAAAAATCAGAACTTGTTTTATGAAAGAACTAGCAGCCATTTACAAGTTTTCGCCAAGCAGAGATTGAAGTACTACTGCAGTTCCAGCACACCAGCAGTACCCACCTTGGGGCACTCATTCCACAGGTTAGACATTTATTATTGCTTTGCTCACATCATATTTAACCATCCCACTTAGCAGTTTACTACTTTGCTTTTACTTACCTGGAATGAGAATAGTGACAGCAGCTTGAACAGCACGTCGTATTATATTATCCATAGCAAACATCCAATGAGGTCTGATTAAATGATTCCTTAGTACTTTGTTAACCTATAAGAAAAGTGTCAAATAAAACAGGGTAGTAGTTTGCCTTAAGCTATAAGCTGAATTAAAGAAGTTTGGGTAAATGTAGGATGACAATAAGTCCACTTGGATTAAGAGCTAGAACACAGATTGGAACATAAAAGCAGCCCTGCTGGATCAGACCCAAAGCCCCTCCTAGTCCAGAATCCTGTTTCTCACAGTGGCTAACCAGATGCCTAGGGGAAGCCCACAAGCAGGACATGAGTGAAGCTGTAGCCCAGTGACTGGTATTCAGAGCCATGCTGCCTCTGATCCTGAAGGGATACAGCTTTTGTTTCCACTGTGATGTAGGCACAAAGAAAGCTGTTGCAAAGCAACACCTAAGATACTGTGTTGTACATCAACAATGCACAGATATTCGACTAAGTCATACTCAGAGCAGACCCCCTGAGGTATCACACTGTGCTTCAAGTTCTTTGCACAGAATTGTGCATTGTATGCTATCTTCCAAAGGCTTCCTAGAAAGCAAAAGCGGAGATCATTTCTACAATTCAGCAGAAGTGAATAAATGCATCTTCTCTGGTAGGCTGCTCCGTATGATATGCTACAACTCCTTTGTCCTCTTCTGCCCTCCTCCCAATAGTATAATTTAGGGTTTTAAGTTTAAATAGCAGCAAAAGGTATTATTGGTAGTGGGTCCCTCCCCCCACCCCCAGATATTACACTCGGATGAACATACTGCATCTTGAAATCCAAACAACACTAGATGAATCTGATTGATGGAAGTACTGTCAAAGTCCAGTTCAATTTTCAACTTGGATATAGTTGATGCCATAACTCTGTGTTCAGGAGAACGTATAAAATCTCTTAAAATCCCAATTATCTGCTTGATATGAGCAACTGAAAGATGCAGTTCTTCAGAACTCTGAAAAAAAGATGAATATGCAAAATGTTTAAAAAGGCACATCAGCAAATTCCACCAATGTATGCATGTTTTCAACCTTGCTGCCACTATTCTGGAAGACTCCTTTTTACCAATTCACAGCAAGAGCAGCAGAGGGCAGCTTTCAATCAGGCACATAACAAGTAGTTTGATTCATGGATTACATTAGCTCACGAGAGAGGAAACAGAACATGAGCTAAATTCAACACTGATGTAACCAAACAGCAGGACTGAATTTGTCCTACCAGAGAGCAGCTTTCTGCCATTCAGTCCTTAAGCAAAAATTCATATTACAATCTCTAATACCATGGGAAAGGGGGGGGGCTAAAACAAAAATTGGTTGCAGAGGTCAAGGCAACAAACAAGGTGGTCAACAAACTTTAGGTGACCAGTTAAATAATAAGAAGCTCCATTTTACTACTTAAAGGTTGTGATGGATCCCTCTTTGCTTCTCCATGTTTGTAATCTCCACACAATTTTGTGGAAGAGGAAGTTAGGATGAACAGACTTGCCCCTGTCTCTTCCAGGGTTGTGCTTATAATCCAAGCCAGAGGCCATCCACACCAGGGATCCTGCTTTCCTCATGCAGGTTCCCCGAGTGATTTAGAACCCTACATGATGAGCACAGCAGCTCTTCACCCCAGACACCCTCCAGATCATGGATTAGGAAAGGTGGCAGAGCAATAATTTTTACCTCTTCCAAACAAGTGAATAGTCGTATTACCTGTGCTACACATTCTTTTAAATTGGAAGCTACTTGGTTTTGCTCTTCTTTGAGGATTTTATACAGAATTGCACGTCGTTCACTGTCCTTTCGTAGCAAGAAAAGACCAGAATCCCTTTCCTCAAGTGAAGGGGAAGCACTTCGCTCATCTGAAATGGAGCTGTCGTCGGGGACACTGGGCCAGAATGAGACAGCATTCACAAGAAACTATAAATGACAAAGTCCAGAAGAAAACAGCCCAGTTTTTAAAGCAACTTTCCGATTACTTAAAATGAATGGCTTTTATTTTGTGTGCTACAAAGATGCCCACCAAATCCCAAGTTTTATAGTAGCTGAGAACACAGCTTTCTATGAAACAAGACACTAATTCAACATCTACAGTAAGAAGACAGATTGATCATAATGTGGACTGCGTTCATTTGAAGATGCTGCAATTGCTGCTCTTTTTTGTCAGGGTCTCTTTTTCCAATTAGACTCTTATAATGAGTTTTACTTGCAGGGGCCTAAACAAACCCCATTCGATACTTTACATTTTACTATAGATCTTGTAACGGAATTAGCTTTGAGCACATCATCCCACCTAAACTGTAAGGACAGCTGGCATCCTCTGTGAACCTAACATGCCTTTTTGCATAGGTCAGGTTTTACCTTAGTAAATGGGAGATAGGACTCTTTGTCTGAACCTCTGACACGGAGCGCTTTGCCTTATCAAATAGCATGTCATGTGGCATATCAGAGTCCGGTGAGACTGAGCCGTGTTCACTGCTGCTGCTGCCAGCCTGTTCCCCCTGGACTGGCAACGGGAGTGATGTGCTGCGGTTATAATCTGGAGCACAAGAAGAAAAGGGGAATGAATAAACAGGTCCTCCTATCTTTTAAGCAAATGAAACAAATGCAGTATAATTAAAATGCAGTTTAAAAAATTGACAAGGTGTGAAATGAAACTACTTGATGAGAAAAAGGTGTGTGTCTGCAAGCTGCAGAAATAAATTGTGATGATTGATGGAAAACCCTTCTGAAACAAACACTAGCAGTGGGGGTTTTTTACCTTTCTAGTGTAGCTCATCTAGGAATTGGGGTGGAAGGGACCTTGTTCTGAGTGATCTCCAAGCACTGAAAGAATTACTTGAGATCCAAGAGGCTACTAGCTGATAAGGTGACATAACCTTGCTTTTACAGCTCATCCACAACTGAAATTTGTGTAACATTACTCTCTTTGTGAAGCCAAATCAGCCCTTGTTCAGGGTTACTAGTTGTATAATTTATTTGCCCTCCTTTTTGGTTTACAACTTGAGATGCCTTACACACCTTAAACTGCTGGGTGCATGTCTACTGAAAATAGGCTTCATTAAAATTTCTCCAAAAAGGATTTTCCAGTTTTAAAAAATGTCATTTTGGAGAGAGAAGAAACCCAGCCCTGAATTTCTTCATCCTTTATTAAAATATAGTGCTCTAATTTCACCAAGTTTGTTATTTCTTGAATTTGTTATATTAACACTAGGATGAACCTGCCCCATAAATATTCTTTTCATAGCTTGCTGATTGCTTGACACATCCAACTGATTTCCTGGTATGTTCAGAACCCAAGATTAAAGGGAAGGATGATGGTTAATATCTCTTTACATACAAATATTTTGACTGATAATTCCTTACCTGAAGGCTTGAACGCAATTCTGTTTTTCTTGCCCTTGTTCAACTGTTTCAAGAATGGGTCCTTAAGTAAGTCCAATGCTGTGACTCGTTTATTTGGATCAGGTTCAAAGCAGAGCAAAATAAAAGCTCTTGCCTCAGCAGATAGTGATTCAGGAATTTCAGGGTGAATTTTGAACATTCCAACCTGCAAGCAGAAAGGACGCTCTGCATCACTTCAGCAAGGTGAATTACTTTAAAGTTGACTCATGCTAGGGCTCATCCACACTTAACTTTTGCCTCCTCTTTCCAGGCAGAGGTGCACACACTTTAATGCTCTGTGCCTGAGTGTGTATTTTTTGCCCCAAACTTCCCCCACAAAAACCTGCTCTTTAAAGCTGAATCGGAGCAAACGTCAATTTGGCCTTTTGCGACGAAAGCTCCAAACCAAAAAAAAGGGGCACTCAGACACAAACCTTTGTTTGTGGGACATGGTAGGAGCCTGTGGAATGATTTCCTTGCTGAGGCATACAACTATCTTTCCTTGAGGGACTTTTAGAAGAGCAGCAAAACACACACATTCCCTCTAGTTCTAACTTGGCTGGTTGTGAAGCAGCTGTAGCTCCCGCCCGGCATCCTCTGCATGCAAGTCGTCTCAGATCTGCTATTGCACATAAATTAATAGATGCTGCTAAATAATCCATGTCAGGAAGTATTCTAGCAGTATGGTAATATGTGGAGGGGGCGGGAGGTGGGTTAGTACATACAACACTTACTTTGAACATAGCTGCCTGTGGTTCACCCAGTTCATGAAAGGGAGGCTTCCCTGTCGCCATTTCAATGGTAGTGCAGCCCAAAGACCAGATATCAGCTGGTGCACCATATCCTCGAGGTCCCTTATCAATAATCTCTGGTGCCATGTACTGCAAAGTGCCTAAAGTCATGAAAGAGAATAGGTACAAGTATTATTATTATTTTAAAAATCCCTGAACAGATCACACTTAATATTAATAATATTAATAATAAACCTTTATTGTCACTACACTACCTGTGTGCAGTGAGATTAAACGAGCCCCCCCCCCCAATACACTCAGTCTTGTTCGCACTCTGTGTGCTTGTCGGAAGTCAATTACACCATTTTTTCCCCATTCAGCAGCCCAACAGCCCACGGATAAAAACTGTTCTTTAACCTGCTGGTGCGGCTGACTATACTTCTTTGCAAAGTACCACACTTCCTTAGGTACTTGGCAAAAATGGCATTTCCCATACAGATGGGCTTAACAGATGGATTAAGTACCAGTGCCAGTAACTCTCAGCTGTTACACTGCATTCTGTCACAAATTTTCTACATGACTGCCTTGGCTTATTAAATGGAAGACAATCCATTGAGTCCACTATAGCAAGAATGAAAATACTGTCTTAAGATCACATTTTCCAAATTTTTGCACAGGCAAAATTCTAAACAGTAGAAAGGTTACAACCATTTGCTGGATGGCTCACAGGATAATGTAGAGTACACGCAACTCCCCATTTGTGTACATCTGAGTTGCGTGAAACTACAATCAGGAATGAAACCCCCACATAAGCTGGGATTCCCCTGTACTAGTTTTTGCAGTTTCAATAACAAAGTTATGTAAATTGTTCCCCCTTAAATTAATGGAGAACTTTTTACAACACAACTATATCCAGCATCTACTCAGAAGTCCCTCTGGGTTCAACTGGGCTCAGACATTCCTGACCAGAAGCACACCTTCAGTAAAGCTACAGCATTTTGTATTCTCAGAAAAGTAGAAAGGAGAACTCTTGAATGCAAAGGAGAAAGTGAAGATTAAGAAGAAGCTAAAAGCATTCTTGTATGTTGGGGTAATTTTAATCTGTTTTAGTATTTTAACTTTTGTATGTTTTTAAGTATAGTTGTGAATTTATCTTAATTTTACTTTTTACCTTTTGTAAACTGCTTTGAGCTTTTTTGCAGTCAAGCAGTGTGTGTGTGTGTGTGTGTGTGTGTGTGTGATAAATAATGGAAAGTTTGAGAAATGTTATTGGGATGGATAATCGTAGACAGAAATTACTTTTTGGAGAGTTATTCATTATTAAAGAATAAGTTGCTTATACTATTTACAGCTCTGTTCTTTGCTAGACTATCACTTTTGGGGATGAATGAAGCATTCTCTCTACCTCTCCAAAAACGTATTTGATTTGATTTCCCCATGTACACATTAAAATGCAGGCAATAAACGCATTGGTTTTGGACCAAGTTGCTCTTTCCAAGGGCTTTCTCCACAATGTTGATCACAGCTTTACTGACTTATTTTTGTATATAAGCAACAGACAAAGAAAACATTGATCTGAAATCTGTAACCAAGAAAGACTTTTTACGGAACTTTCCAAGTACAATACATTCTACTTATATAAGGAAGATTCTGTACATATATACTCACTATGCAAACAATACCCATTACCCCAAAGACTTGAATACAGAATAATCTTAATGTAACAAGCAATAGTCATATATAATTACAAGTAAAGCAAAAGCAATAGGCATTGCCATCTTATCTTGCTCAAATAAACTCTGCAGCTTTGCAACAACTGCATGTTTGGACATGAGGGTTGCTCGATCACACTCCTCGTCAGTGATAAAGATTCATGGAAATGATAAGTAATATCTTAAAGGGGTGGGGAACTTTTTTTAGACTGAGGGCGACACTCTAGGAAACCTGGGGTCACATGCCAGTAGTTGGTAGAGCAAAGAACATAATTTTTATCCTCTTTTGGTACATATAAGAAAGCAGCCTTATTAAAGAAGAAAAAGGGAAGAAAAAATTGGTAATGTACTGTTTTAGTGTTTTGCATTCATTTTTCTTTATTGTAAGATGAAAACAATTCAGTGGAAAACAAAGCGAGAAGTGTTCTTGCTTTGTACTGGATAAATGATGCAATCCTAAACACACTTGCTTGAAAACAAGTCCAAAATATGGTTAGGATGAAACAGAGAGACTGAAGGCCCCCTTAGACTGGTGGTTTTTTGCTGCTGCAACATGTCACTGACACAGTAATAGCACATTAGTGAGAAATTTATGCTAGCCTATCCACACATCATTTACAGGCACAAATGGTGCTGAAAAGTGCTGATTGTATATAATCACCCTGATAACCTCACCAGTGTAAATCATGACAAATCGCCTGGAGGTTTTACAAAAACCAGAAAGGCTTCGAACCTACAGGAAGACCAAAGCGAGCTGATGTGCAATCCCATTTGAACTCCCCCAAAGCAATTTGTCTCTGCAATCTTGTTTGCAGCACTGGCAGACTGCACAGACAACATGATAATCTGGGCAACCATTACCTCAGATAGTTCCTGTGGGCTATGCACTTTGTACTATCTATATCAGCTAATTAAGGTTTTATAACATTTAACTATTGTATTTACTGTTACTGTGCAGGCAAATCTTCACAGCAGAACTGGGTGGAGGCAGGGAAGCAGCTTCTAACTATGAGCACAAAAGCTGCATTCAGATGTGGATTTCATACTGCTAGTTTTACCAGTTATAGTGCTAGTGCTTCTGTTCCATTTCTAGCTTTCCTTTTACACTAACACCTTTTTATGTTATAGACCTGTGGCTTTTTGAGCAATACATATTATTGTCATGCAAAACTTTAAATGGCGGAAAAGAAATACATGCCAGGATGCGGTCCCCAATTTTGCCAATAACTCAATTTTCCGAGTTAGTGTGGTTGCAAATGGATTATTTTTTCTGGAAATAACTGACATGGTAAGGAGTACGGAAGTTCCACTAGATTTCCAGAAGTGACTTTTACATTGTGTGAGAGCTCACATAAAAAGCGAAATGAACACACGTATAAGGAAATGTCGTGAACGTGGAATAAAATGCCATCTGAGTATAGCCTAATTCTAACCACAGAAGATTAATAAATGTAGTGATCAGGTGGGAAAAAGTTGTTTCTGTTCTTACCTGTAAATGTCTCTGTACATGGATTCACTCCTGCAAGGCGCTTGGAGGTCCCAAAATCAGAAATCTTCACTACTCCACTGTATGTGTTCACTAAAACATTGTCTCCCTTAAATAAACAAAGGGTAAGCAAATTACCAGAAACTTTGGTTATCGGGGATTTTATGAAGCCTTTCTAAAAGAGCAACTAGTGGGATCTTAAACCCTGCATTTCTGTAACATACAATTAAAAATATAAGGAAGCATGCATATGCTCACTTTTATGTCTCTGTGGACAATCTGGTTCTCATGGAGATACTTCAGGCCCTCTAGGATTTGCTTGGTGTAAAACTTAATTGTGGGTTCTTTCATTGGTCCCCATTTTGATCTTAGTAATGCAGAAAGACTTCCTGGATTTAGGCAGAAAATACAGGATAAAAAATGATTCTGTCCAGGGTATCAAGGCCTGTAATCATTGAATCATCAGTACAGTACATAAGTAAAATCCCATGCAGAGTTACCTGGGACTGAACACGCACACTTCCTGTATTGGACAATATGTGACTAGCTGCAGAGTAAACATGCAGAGAATTGAGTCACACACTTTGTTAACTCTGAGCCAAACTCATATGCCCCATTATACACAGACCTAAAAGAGCAAATACTGTGCACTTACACAGCGTATGGCATATATCTAATGAGATAATTCTAGAAACTAGAGACAGAGTAATCTCAAATCTGTCAGCATTCTGAGGCTAGGTTTGAAGTCACAGTAAACCACAGTTAATGATTTACCATGAACGAACAGGTGGGGTCCTGTTTCCCTCTTCCACTAGCAAAGAGTGGAATCAACAAACCACAACCCCTGGCTTAGCTGAACTGGAGGTCATGGTTTGCTTCACTTGACACAAACCATGAAGTCAAAGCTTGTTCTTTGCTTCCCAGTTTGAGTGAAAATGCTAAGCCAGAGATTGTTATTCACACCAGGGGAGCAGTGAATCACGAGCGATCGCAAGGTTCATGGGTAAACTAACTATGGCTTACCATCGCATGTGAAGTGGGCCTGAATGTTTTAGCATTAGCTCTGTCAGTCTATTAAGGGATCCATTCTAGCAGGCCCTCTAAGACTGCAGGAAATTTACTGAAGCCTTTGCTTGGGAACAAAGGAACCTGCCTTATACAGAGTTAGACCATTGTTCCCTCTAGCTTAGAATTCTCCACATTGACTAGTAGCAGCTCTCTATGCAAAGCCTTTCCCTACCCTGTATTGAGATGACAGGGCTCAAACCTATGCATGCAAAGTATAAGCTATGAGCTTTCCCCTGGGTCCATGTTCCAAAAAAAGACACCTCGTAAACACTGTAAAACTCACTCATTCTTACATCAGGAATATGAATATGGGAAGCAACCACAAGGAACCAAGATCAGGGCAAAAGGGCAAAAAACAGAATCATTGATAAAACCCTTCAAAAATGTTTTTCAGTGTATGTTCTGTTTGAGCTGAAATTCAAGGCCTTCCAGTGAAAATTCTTGACACATCATCTTTTTCCGTTTGTGCATATCTCTACCAAAGGAACTCCCGAAGGACCATCTTGCCCCAAGCAGAGTGAGAAGCAGCAGTAAAACAAACAAGTGGTTTCTTCCCTCCCTTTATAGCTTTTTAAAAATAAAAATAAGTGCTTATTGTTAGAATAATCTCATGTAAACCACTTCCAGCTTTTCCTGAAAAGCTGTACTGTATATAAATACCCTTAAATAAGTAAAATAAATAACCTCTCCCCACTGCAGTGAGAAACTATCCAATTAGGTGGGCCTTATTAGAATGCTGTATGTTCCCAACCATCTGATGTGACCTTATCTTTTTTTCTTTCTCTGTATGCTGGTTAAGAATACAATCCTCTCTCATTTCACCTGTATCTGTCCCCCTCCCACTGGAATGCCCTCCCACCTGAGACAGCCAGGTCTCTTCTGTTATATTCAGGAGTGTCCTTAAAGATAAATCTGTTGACTTCAGCGTCTCCTTTATTCTTCCTTTCTCTCTCCCTTAAGTGCTTTTTTTTTTAAATGGTAGAATGCTGAATGGTTTTTGGTGCTTTATAAATAATTATGATAGAAAGAAAAGAGAGAAGAGTTTCTGAACCTAACAGTTCTCTCCAGGAATCAGTGTGAGGCCTGTGTTTGTAACTAATTGCAGTCAACGTAAAAATGCTATTTATGTGAGACTAAATTGCACCAGAATTTGAATATACAGCCTTGATTCAGGAAGAAATATGTATATGGATTGGGTTCATGCTGATTTAATTATAGACAGTCTAAAATATTCTACAGAGGTTTGAGATATGAATCATTCTACTCTGTATGTTATGTTTTACTCTGATTTATGGGTTCGCATATTACAGGGATGGCTCAGTCAATAGAGCATGAGTCTCTTTATGTCAAGGTTGTGGGTTTGAGCCCACATTGGGCAAAATATCCATGCATTGCAGGGGATTAGACTAGATTACCCTTGTGGTCCTTTCTAACTCTACAATTCTTTTCTTCTAAACCTTGGGTTCGTGTCAGCTGCTGGAGAATAGCTCACAGCCATTTTACTCCTCCTTGGTCCTTTCTGTTGCCACACCAAGCTTAGCTAAGGTTTGGTTTAGTGTATTCTAAAGCCAAGGTTTGGCTTAGCATGGCGTCTGAACCAGACCATAGTAAGGTGTCATAGATGAGGTGAAAATAGTAAGATACAAACCTCCAGGCACCTGTTCCATGAAGATTTTAATATATCCATCTTCAGAAACAGAACCAAGATACTGGACAATATTTCGGTGCTTCAAATACTTGTGGAGGGCTATTTCTTCATGCAGTGGCTGAGAATATCTGTCAATGAAGAACAACTGAAGCCTTATAAAAATCAGGGGGGGAAACATACTAACCTAAAATTTCCATGCCACCCACATAAAGATTGAACATATAAATTGGTAGGTCGAAGGTCCACAGAAAGGATGGAATAACAATGTAAGATAATTAAAAAGCCCCAATATGGTCAAAATCACCTCAACAAACATATACCATGCAGTGAAAATATATCCTCAGCCAGAGCTGGTAGGCAGAAAGCTACAGCAGCATTGTTTGCATCTACTGTCTTGAGAGACAATAGAGTGTGCCTCTAGGGGTAAAGTCAAACCTCTGCATTTGCAGCACTGAAGTGACCTCCCCAGGGCACAAGTCTGAGCAGGGTGTATGGAGGTCCTGGGATGCCTAGACAACTAGACACGTGCCCCTCAGCCTTGCTGATGTGATCCAAAGGTCCTGGGGACTCCACTCTGGAATTGGGTAGGGATTACTCCTTAGCCTTTTCTTCGCCCCATTTGCCCCTCACTTCCCTCTACAGCACATGCAGAAACCGCCTTCTTGAACGCTATTGGTCTTGTTGGCTCAATCAACCACAGCCTGTCTTCACATGCAGGGTAAATCCCTAACTCACCAAGGGTTTGAGACCCATTGGCTACTGTTCACCTGGTTTAGCCGGCCATTCCTGGGGTGTGGCCACTGTGGCATACAGACTGCTTCTAGGAGTCTCCGGTGAGAGCTGAGAGCAGGGTGGGGCCAAAGGTGGATAAACAACCGCAGAAGAAGCATGTGTCCCCCAGCAGAACTACTACGCCTCCCCTAACACCCCCAGCATGCTTCTCTGTCTGTGAATGACTTATATATTGAATAATGAATGATGTAAGACCGAATTAGGCAAAGCACACTTCATACTTATATCTCAACTTTAAAAGGTTACTCCTCCTCAGGACTAAAATGAATAACCCACCCCCCATATTTAGTGTGTAAGAATAAAATATCAAGACTCACCTGCTGTCTCTCTCTGGTATTTCCTTGATGGCTATTCGGACCTGATTGCTAAGATCTCTTCCAGCATAAACTATCCCGTAGGTTCCTTTGCCCAACACTACTCTGTCTCCATTCTCATCATAGTCATACTCATACTGAAAGCAGAAAGAAACAGAATTCAGCTCTCAGACACAAAAAACACATTATCAAAACCACCAAACAGATTTTAACGTTTGCCATTAGCAATGTATTGCCCTAAAGATCAGCAGCTCTAGTAGAAATTAAAGAGCAAGCGTTTCTTATAATGTTTGCAGGCAACTGTGGTGCGAAAGACTACTTTTGTCTTATAGAAGAACTGCAATGTTCTAATTAACAGGCACTGGTTTTTTTAAAAAATTAATTCTTTAAACATTATATAAGCAGCTGCCCGTAATAAGAATGTGCGACATAAGAGGAATACCTCACAAGTAAAAGATTATTTAATAAAGGGATGTGTCTTTTAAAATCTGAGTGAAGAATACATAATGGAAACAAACAGCATAAAATGGAAGATAATGTCAATGGGGGCAGGTGGGCAAGTACTGTAAACCAGACTCCTACAAGTATGTAGAAATCCTCTGTCAGTAAGGCCTTGAAATTCTTCCACAGTTCATTTTGGAAGTGATTGCCAAGCTCCCTGTTTCCACACAGAGTCCTCCAGGGAGGTATTTGTACACCCTAACATGACCTGCCCACTAACTTACGGTAGTTCAACCTTTCAAACAGTTTCATTTTTCATGCTTCAGCAGTTCACAGTTCATCGTCCTGTGCTGTTATGTGATATGTGCTATTACCCAAAATGACACAACCAGAACCTGTTAATGTTTTTTTTTAGCACACCCATATTTCACAGCTACGAAACAGTATTCAACTGATAGCGGTAGCTTGAGGACAGCAACCAGATTTACAAAACGTTAGCCTGAATATCAGTGATAGCACATTTCTGACAGAGCAGTTGTTTACCCAGAATAAGTCCTACTGTGTTCACTCTGGCTTACTCTTAGATAAGCATGAATAGGAACACAGGCTTTGCATGCACAAAATATCTGAAGATAAACATTTCAGTGCAATGGGCAATTCCACAATCTATTCTAATGACTTCATTTTAAAGCAAATTCAAATTGAGAAGCAGGAGGGAGGCAGAAAGAAATAAGAATTGTATGCCCTTGAATACAAATGTTACTTTTGAACAAAGGAGGAGAATTCACTGATTTTCTAAATGATGTGCACACTGATGTCAAAGAGCTGTTCAAATTAGAGGATTTTCATTGACATCTGCCTCTAAAGTACAGACATGTAGATATATCAGCTAATTCCCACTTAGTCCAGAGAAACCCAAAACATAGCCTTGGCTTCTCTGATATTTGCTAACCAAAGTCTCCTTTTAGGCTGCAGATATATTGGAATGCTACCTAGAAGCATCCTATATTACTCAACTCTCAAGTAATACTTGATCCAAAGCACTGAGGCATTTCAAACTTTATGCTTTTGTTGTTTTTCTTGAACCTTTCAAATAAATGTATGTTATCCCCTTGAGCATGCAAGTTGTGGGTTAATAAACATTAAAAGCAAACAAACCCAACCCACTCGTAATGTGGGAATAATGGGAACAAAGTTTCATGGCATGTCTGGTTGAACTGATGTTTCTCTGTGACAATCTTCTTCCTTATTTTATCCACTAGACTTACATGGAAAACAATAACTACTGTAGAGTTGCGAAATATGCCTCACTTGTAATGCAACTTTTGATCCCTTTGTAACTAAAATTTACAAGGACTGGATTTGGGACATTATACATGGAAAGCTGACAACTCTACCACTAATGTGTCCCCTCTCTTTGCTATTTATGAATTTAGTGCCCTACACTGTTTTCAGATTGATCTGTCATATCATTCATGACAAAGCTCTCACATAAGGGTGTTTCTGTCTTTTCTCAGGTACCAATGCATTGTCAAATGGACTGTGGGGATAGAATAATCAAATGCTATTAGTTCAGTACACAATTATCCATTGTCATGTATGAAAATTGTAATTGTACAAACAAGCAGTGGGGGAAAGTACTTTTCGAATCCTTAATTCCAGTAAGCAATTGCGAAAATCAGAGATTCCTATAACTGCCATACTTTTTGGATGAAAAGCTTTGTGTGCAACTCTCGAACTGTGTTAATAATGTGATTTTCAATACATTTCAAGCTCCATTCCACAAAACTCCAACATGTTTCTTTCAAAATATTTTACCCTGCTCAGACAAACGAGTTCTGAGTAGCAATAAGAAATACATAATATGTAAAAATATCAAGTATGTCAAACATTATTATAGACAAAAGATATTTCCTCCTGTATCTGATCCTTAGATATTGGAATGAATGAATGAATGAATGAATGAATGAATGAATTTATTACGGTCATAGACCAGAAGAAAGAAAAAAACATAAAAAGCAGCAGTAATTTACGAGGGAATGATGGTGTCAATTAAAAGTTGTAAAATTATACATAAAAACAATACACACACACACACACACACACACACACACACACATATACATACTCATATATGCACTACAGTATATGTATGGGCTTAAAAAAAAAAGGGGGGGCTTATCCAGGGGTCAGATCTTTTACTTTTTTACAGCTAATGCCCTCCGCTTGATCGCGGCCGCAGAAAACTTGGCCACTTTCAGTGTTACTTCTGGGTTTTTATCTCCTAGTAGATTTTCAGCCGCTGAGATTCAGATCGACCTGGAAATTTCTGAACGATAGGGGAGATAAACAGTAACCTGATATCCACGTAAAGGTCGCAGTGTAACAACACATGTGAAGCCGTTTCCACCTCCTTCAGACCACATGGGCAAACTCGTTCAGCATAGGGTGTGCCCTCGTATCTGCCCTTTAGTAAGGCAGATGGCAATACATCAAATCTGGTAAGGGTAAACGCCCGCCTATATTTTGCGATTTGTAGGTCCAGCAGATATGGGGTTAGATTAAACCCTTTTCCATAATCTTGGATAGCTGGATATTTATCTATCTTGCTCATATGGTCCTGAAGCTCTACATCTCCTATTCGCTGGCTCACCATCATTTTGGCCTTTTCAAAGCCTGAGGCTATGAGTTCTTGTGGGGAAAGCCCCAGGCCCCTCAATTTTTCATAAAGCGACAATCTCCATTTAGACTGGAACGGGTCTAGTAGAGTCAATGGAGCCACTCCCACTGGGAAAAATATGAGTTTTAGCCAGAAGTGAATCTTCAGGATCCATATCCTGGCATTAATAGGGAGTTGACCTACCTCCAGCCTAATGGCAGTGTTAGAGACACAGGTAGGTAACCCTAGTAGGGAACGATAAAATTTAGTTTGTACAGATTCCAGGGACTTGAGTTTTTGACAATTAAATATCTGGGTGCCATACATCAATTGTGGAAGTATTTTTGCAACAAAGACCTGGGAGGCAGCAGGAACATATTGACCTCCTTTTCTGTAAAAGAATCTTATGATAGCTCTGGAAGATCTTTGCACATTTATAATGGAATTCTTAATCTGATGGCACCAAGATCCCTTCTCATCAAAAATTATTCCAAGATATCTAAAAGATGTTACTTGCTCAATAGGTTGGTTATTAATTTTCCATTTATGTCGGAGTTTTCTCTTGGAGAACACCATAATTTTTGATTTAGTGTAATTTATTATTAGGTGTTCAGCTTCGCAATACTCTGTAAGAGCTCGTAAAAGTTTTCTTAGACCCACACAAGAGAAGGAAATAAGTGCCGCATCATCTGCGTACAAAAGGACCGGGATTGGTGTATTATTTAGGTTTGGGGAATGAGTACTTGCTTCCTCCATCTTTCCGACTAAGGAGTTTATATAGAAGTTAAAAAGAATAGGGGCAAGAACACAGCCTTGCTTGACACCATGGAAACTTTGGATTTCCTTTGATAGGTTCCCATAACGGTCGCATCTAACACGGATCCGAGTATTTTCATGTAGTCTACGGATAAGAAGCAAAAGACGTCTATCGATGTTTGTGACATTTAGTTTTTCCCAAAGTCTGTGCCGGGGTATCGAGTCGAAGGCTGATTTGAAATCTATAAAGGCTACATAGAGAGAGCCTCCTTTCTTTGAGGTGTATTTCTCCACTAGATGTTGCAATACCAATCCTTGGTCTAGAGTTGATCTATGTGCCCTGAAACCAGCCTGGGCTTCCTTTAGGATGTGCTCCTGTTCCAGCCAGTCCGCAAACTTTTCACGTAAGTGAGTTGCATAAAGTTTGCTGATGATGCTTAAGAGACTGATTGGTCTGTAATTGGCTGGATCAAGTTTACAGCCTTTCTTGAATATGGGAACGATGATTGCCAATCCCCAGTCCTCTGGTATTATTGCTGTTTGATCTATGCTGGTGAAAAGCGTGGCAAGGACTGGGGCCCACCAGTCAATATTGACTTTGAGAAGTTCAGGAGAGATTTCCTCCTGTATCTGATCCTTAGATATTGGATTCTAATACTACATACCTGGGAAAGGGGATTATTATTCGGATAATAGGTTTAATAGCATCCAAAAAGGTTGCATTATGCAGGTGTTTTTTAAACAAGAGGTAGATGAATAGGTTAGGGCTACGCAAACAAGAAAACATTCTCTACAAAAACCTACAGTTTATTTGCTGAGTTTCACTTATCCATAAATAAAAATGTTTTCACATGATGCCCTCTTCCTGAATTTTCCATATTTGCTTAATTTATACAATTGTAGTATACACTTCCATGCCATATTTACATCATTTAAGAAACATTTGCAGGGGCATGCTAAAACTCGGTGAGCACAGAATTCTGATAAACTCACCTATCACATGACTGCTTCCGCCTGCTGTAGTTATGGCAGATTGCCATCAGCTTAAGTGGCTGCCATGCTCAAAAGGGTCACGCAAAGAGCTCCTGAGATGTGACCCTCAGCTGTCACCACTTCCTTAATAGTTGACAGGACATTTTCAGAGTCAGAAAAGGACAGTTGGCCACCGAGCCGTCTTTCCCATAGGGCTTAGTGGTTTGTTGTGCCAGGGCGCTGGCCTCACAGACACGCCCCAGTGAGTGGGGGAGCTGCACGGCTTTGCTGGCGGCCTCCCCTTTCCCCGTACCCGCCAGCTGTGCCTCACCAACCATATCGCTGGCGGGCGTGCAGCTTGCCTCCCAGGTCTCCGCGGAAGGAGAGCGATCCCTGCAGCGGCTTAGGATGGAAGCTGCGCCCCGCCAACTGTATGGCTGGCTGGCATGCAGCTCTCTCTCTCTCTCTCTCTTTTGCCTGCTGGCCTGCAGCCTTTGCGACCTAAGTTTTGGGTCCTTTTTAGGTTCAGGATGTCACTGCTTTACACCCACACCCACCCACATCCCACAATATTTGAAAATGTCAGCTTTGTACTTAAACACAAATTGGCCAGGAGCTTCATTTTCTGTGTCTTTATTAATTTATTTGGTCACACGTTGCTGTTATTAGACAGTGTGTGAGCGCAGGGTTTACACTAATGGTAGATTGTGCCCAGATTGATAAAAGTTCTGTAACGTTAGGCAGATCCTTTATGTGCCCTTGTGTTCTTCCAACCAATAAATGTTGGCAGCTATGGGCATGTGCATGCAGACAGCACTTCGGCATGTTATTGTTTCTATTTAATGCTTAGTATTCCAGAATTCTAACCCTGTGGGAGTACAGTAGATTAGAAAACCGACTACTTGCCTGCCTGAGCAAGGGCAAACCTGGTTATTTTGTCTGCAGCTAACGATTGCTGTCACAGGCAGTACTTCAACTCAGGACCATTGTCTCTACCTGCCATATCTCTTGCCTGAACTGAGCTCGCAAACTGACAGCTTGTGCTGATGGGAGGGAAGCGGTGCAAAACAGAACCAACCAATCTTCATCCCTTCCATGCAGAAACTAGGACGATGCTTCGACACATGCCACACAAATGAAAGTATTGAATACCCATCTGGCTCTTTCCCAAAAATCGGGGGGGGGGGAGGGGTTGCAGTAGAAGAAGAAGAAGAAGCAGGTTTCCGAGTATGTTACTCTGGAATACTAGTTGAATAATGACGACATTATGTGGCGGCATGCCAAAAAATCTGAAAGAGCCAGCAACTATACCACTATAAATGGTAAATGTGGAAAGCTTCTTACTGCCCTATTGAACAATGATTTAGCTGCAAAGTTTTAGTTGTGCCGTTCCTACTTTTTAAAAAGGTAGGTATTATTTCTTAAGGTATTAATAAATTAAATTAATTAGAATAGGAATATGGAAAGCAAATTCCTCTCCCATCCAAACAAAGATTTCTGTTTCTCCCCGGTCAACATTACTTACTTCCAATGTGTCTCCATCACTCTCTCCTTCCAGTTCCAGAGTACTTCCTACAACATCTGTTAAGATCTCTTTAACCAGACTACAAAACCTGTAAGCAATGTACACCGCACAATTAAAGGCATAACAGTATCTTGCTTTTCTGCTCAAATACTTATGATTCATGTGCAATGCAAAGCAATACATCTGCCAACATTCCTTTTCCTTTTCCTCTTCAAAATCACTATTGCCTCATGCTGTTGTGCTACAGCTTTTTTTAATGGATACTGAAACCCCTTATAAATTTATCCCTTATAAATCTGTAATTCAAATGTAACGTTTGGACTGTTTAAATTACTTTAAATCAGCATTAGCCCAAGACATTTTGCTGCCTGAGATGGATTCCAAATAATGTCCTCCATCCCAGTTCAAAGACCAACGCTTTCACCATGCTGTTAATTCCTACCTTCACATATCCTGATCATACTAAACAAATTAAGATCAATTTAACCTGTGATATGGTAGGGCCTTTATAAATGAACACAGGAAAGAAAGGAATGTAGAAAACAAATATGAGGAGCGATATCCAATTGCATAAGCAAATGCAACAGGCACTTCCCACTTCCACAGTATTCCAGAGCAAAGTGTCTTTTAAGTACAGTATTTGCACTGAATATGATGCAGTAGTTTGTGTGGCCACAAACAGGTGGCGCTGCGAACTACAACGTGACGACAGACTTCTGAGAACTGTTCACTTGCTGCTGGGCTATCACAGCAGCATTGGAGGGTGAAGAGGAGGGAGTTGGGTGGCCCGGCAAACGAAATCTTTGCGGAAATACTTCTGGGTTTACAAGGTATCTCCCAACTATTGTATGTCTCATTTTGATAGTTAGGGAAAGCAATGCAAAGCTTCTCACCTACTACACTGGCCCTCTGTAGAAAAGTAGATCTGAAAGTCATCAGAGTTGTCGTGGACATACAGAAAACAACACCGTTCGTCAAATTTAGATATGCTGTGGGAAAAGAATTACAATAAAGTTATGCTAAGCACAAGTGGCGTGGATGTGGGGCAGAGGTATGAAGATGAAGGAACAAATGGAGGAGCTCAGCTAGTCCTGTTTTGCTCACACAGCAGTTCAGTTTTCCTTCTACCACTACAGAGTTTACAGAATCAAAGAGAGACAACAGCACAGGCATGGTTTTTTTAAAGCCTGCTTCGAACTGGAGATGACAAGCAATACAATTTGGGTGCAATTTATGAATAAAATGAGGAAATGATGATAAAAATGTGCAGAACAGATCACTAGGACAATGTAAACAACAGTCAGTCTGCATAGCAGGAAAGGTAAGATCTGTGACCTTCAAAAAACCAGATATATGTATTGCCAGGGTGTTAATCATTCATTCATTCACTTATTTAGTTAGTGCCATTCCACTTATGAGTCGCTTCCAATGAAGCATCGCAAAATAAATTATCACCAGTATAAACAGATATAAAACAATTTCTTTTATAACAATTTAAACAATTTCATATATAAAAACCATTTCAAATCCAATATAAATACAGGGTGAGATAAAAATCTCCCCCTTAAAAATCTCCCTGTTGAAAAAGGAAAGTCTTCAATAAGTGCCAAAAAGATAGTAAACACTGCCCCATTAGGATTTACAACACTGTAAAACATAAATTACTAGCTCAGAACAAATAATTCATTGTTCTGCTTACTTTACTCTCTCAGGTTGTTGACTAACACTCTTTTAAAGTCACTTTCAAACAAAAAGTAAAGATATTTTCAGATTCTGTATAATAAAAGTGCATTTAGCAGTTCTTGTAAGGGGAGTCATAACAGGAGAATAATAGCATTACTTTCTCCCATGTCTGGTTTTTTCCCCCAAATGATTCAGCAATTCAAACTGCTGAAGTTTGCAGACAATGTTTGTCTCGTACTATATTCATGAGGCAGAAAAAATCCATACCAGCCTAGATGAGAGAAAGGAGAAAGCAATGACAATTTTCAAAAGCCATGGAAGAAACACTAATCAATATCCATCCAGTTTCCAATTTGCCAATCTAAATATAATATTCTGTAGAGAAATGTACGTGGAGAGAAAGATTAAACTCACTTTCTCACACTACATCTTTCAATGGTGTAACTTCAGCAATATAAGGAACATGTTATTTGAAAGTGGTGCCATTAAACGACCATGAAAATATCAATTCAACAGAGGAGGGGGGAGGGAGACAAGAAGCAAAATATCCAAGCTACTATGCTGAGCAATGACTAAACCATATTATAGAGCCTGCACATTATGAAGAAATATTTAAGATGCCTCCTGCTTAGCACTACAAAAGAGGGGTAAAGTCCTTCATGTACATTGAAAGCATTGGAAAATCACAAGAAAAAAAAGCTATTTTCTTTACTCTCCCCAAGAACTAGCATCAGAATATACATATGACTTAAGGAAGACAACCTATTTTATTTTCTATAAAAATGTATTAACCTAATTTTCAGTCCCAAAACAGGGCCCTAATGGAATTAATCAAATAAAACAACCAACAATAAAATAATGAAGCTCATTTAAAGAAACAGGGTTCATTGATCATTGAACTTTAGAGTTAGAAGGGGTCCTGGCGGGTCATTTAGTCCAACTCCCCCATCAATGCAAGAATCTCAACTAAAGTACCCCAGACAGGTGTGCCAACTTGAATAAAATAGAGGGTAAAATAGAGGTATGCCCCAGCCCACATAATGGATCACATGACACGGCACACAAAAGTGTCCTCTTTTTTGCTCTTCAAAATATGGCAACCCTAGGGGAAAGTCTACCTGTGGCATCACACCTTACACTATAGGGACAACCCTGCCAAAAAAATGGGCATTCTATACTATTGTTCTTTTATTGTGGAGTGCCTTTCCCTTTGACATACATGAAGCAGCAACCATTTGTTGCTTCAGATGTCTTGTAAAGGATTCTTTAGGGATAAAGAACTAAGGAATATTTATACTATATTTCAAGGAAACAGCTTTGACATCTGGGGAGTTGGGTGGGATATAAAGGATACCCGAACTACATCGTTTGCTAGCATTGCTGGGGAAACACATATACATTCTTCACATATCCCTAAGGCAAAATGAGGCATGTAAGTAAAACAAAAATAAAAGCATTTCAAGGACACCAACCTTATTCCTCTAATAGAAGAAGCTGTAAAATTCCACTCATGAATCTGTTTCTGCAAAAGGGTAAGAACACAGATTGTTTCAAAGCAAGATTACAAACCATTATCATCACATCACAAGGATGATCTCAGTCTTTGGGCACCAATATTTTGCTTTGAGGCAGCATACAGCAATATTAGCAAGGTTGCTTCTACCCCCCCCCCCAAAAAAAGTAGCAAGATAAAGAAGGGACACAACACTAGGCCCCAACAGCAACACGTTACTCCTTGCCATTGCAGAACGAAAATGGTCTTCCTAAATTTCATGACACTATGAATTTCCTTTCAATTGAAAGTCTGATGTCCATCCTAATGGCATTGTGCCTTAATTTGTGGAAATGGCCAGGCTCAGTGAATCCAAACATTCCCCTGAAAGGGGTGGTGTGTGTGTGTGTGTGTGTGTAGCTCCTTCAATCCATGTCAGAAAGAATAATCACAAAGTCATGAAGTATGCTGCGGCAAGCCTGCAGATATGCTTACCTAAACTGTCTACAGGGCTACCTATTGGCTTCTCGTGTATGACCATGTATCTGAGAAGGATGCTCAGATGATCTGATCCACAGTCCTTGGTTCACTGATAAGCAAATATGTACATTAGCTAGAGCAAAAATAAGGACAATTTGAGTGCTGGATTTTGTGGCTTGGCAACTGTGACTGCTGGACAGAGTGGGTTGAGAAGCAGTGTTACATTAGCGCTGAAGAACATTCATGTCATGTACTGCGTCATACTGAGTGTATCATTCATTGAAACCAGTTCACAGTCCTCCTATTTTCCTGCTGTAGATCTAAGAATGAAACACATTCTCTCCCCCCCACCCCCCCCCACAAGGCTGGTTTATCCTAATGAGAATTCTGGTATCAGAATTTTTATGAGCATCCCAAATTTCATAAGTTCTCAATGGGATGTGTGATACTGTAGTAAAATAAATCAAAGAGCAGAAGTTTAAAACATCAGATATCTAATTCTGTATAGCCCTGTTCAGGCTTTCAAACCAAAAGCATGGTAGTATGAAGTGTACGGAGACCAGGTGTGCAAACACCCCACACTCCCACTATACCCCTAACCTGCCCAATCACAGGGAGGCTTCCAAGCACATTCAGCTGAATTGGCTTACAGTACAAGCCTCTTTCTGGAGGAGACTCTTGAGAGTCCCACGGACTGCAAGAAGATCAAACCTATCCATTCTGAAGGAAATCAGCCCTGAGTGCTCACTGGAAGGACAGATCCTGAAGCTGAGGCTCCAGTACTTTGGCCACCTCGTGAGAAGAGAAGACTCCCTGGAAAAGACCCTGATGTTGGGAAAGATGGAGGGCACAAGGAGAAGGGAACGACAGAGGACGAGATGGTTGGATAGTGTTCTCGAATCTAACAGCATGAGTTTGACCAAACTGTGGGAGGTAGTGGAGGACAGAGGTGCCTGGCATGCTCTGGTCCATGGGGTCACGAAGAGTCAGACACGACTAAACGACTAAACAACAACAACACGAGCCTCCTTCAGATCTTCCCATTTGACACAGGAAGGTTAGAGGTGGAGTGTTCGTGCCTGCATGTGCTCACACGTGATCTCTGTCATGCTTTGTGCCCTCGTGCTTTCATGCTGAACAGACGAAAAAGTTTGTATGACAATTCATTTCCCTGGGGCTTAAGGCTGGCTCCCTGTTATTAGTACCTCAGTTCTTCCATCTATGGGACAAAGAAGATACTTATGTGCATTTTGTGACATTTTTGTGAAGCCTCTTTAAAAAAAAGGAGTTGTATACAAAGAAGCCAAGATGTGATGATCAGAATTTCTAGAGGAAAAGAAGAAATTCACCATTGGTCTTACCACTTCTGTCGGAGAGACGTGCCAAAGGGAAACAGTTCTTTCTTCCGCTTCATTGTTGATTGAAACATACGCAGGCTGGTATACCTTAGTTGGCTCTATCACCAGTACCTAAACGAAGCACACACATGTTCAGTGAAACCTAACTAGATCAGTGACACATCCTTACAGCATCGGAATGCTAATTATAAGGCTGTTATCCTAAAAGGCAGGAGTAGCCAACATGGCAGCCTTCAGACGTTGTGCATTACAAGTCACATCCACCCCAGCCAGCATGGCCAATAGCCAGAGATGGTAGAAGTTGTAGTCCAACAACTCCTGGAGGACACAATGTTAGTTACACCTGAACTAGGGAGCAAATCCCATTGAACGTGTGCTGAAAATCTGTTCACAATTAACACTGCATTTTCTTCTTGGATGTGGATCAAACTATTTATTTAATCAGGTCTCGTACAATTTCTTGTATTCTTTCCTTCTTGCATACTATTTTATTTATTCATTTGCATTAGACTGCCTCTTGTATCAAACATCCATTTATGCTCAAGCCACTCGTGTACTGCTGTTGTTTTAATTTTTAAAAGGCAATGAATTACATAGTGATACGATTACAGAACACATTTTTCCCTTAGAAAGTTTCCCACTTCCCCATGGCCACCCCTACAGATCAGCAGCAAAAACAGCAAGCAATAACTGCCACCGAGGTCCACTCCCTACCAAACAGGACATGCCAGCTCTGACCTGCTTGGCAGAAAACACTACATACAGCTTGGGCAGATTTACTTGTCACTTGATTCTAGTTCACATGGTAGCTCCTAACATCAGGCCACAATTTTCTCTTACGAATAGTGAAATTCTAAGCCTGTCTACTCAAAAGTAAACCCTGATTAGTTTAACTGGGCTTGCTCCTAGGCAAGTGTATACAGGATTTTAGTCCAAATCAACCAGATATATAAGCTCTGCACATTACAGAGACTTACTGGGAATCTCAAGCCATTAGTTGTTTCTTTAGTTGCCTCAAAAATGATATCTAACCAGAAGTTCAGTCTCTCTTGTCTAGGAGAATGTTCTATGGTGAGTTTCTTGAACCGCTGTATTAACATCAGGTTCTGAACCAATGACTTCAAATACCTGAAACACATGCATACAATCAATAATTAAACAACCAAGAACAACTTTATTTACTCTAAGTTAATGACACAACAAGCCTTTGCTAGAATATTAGAAGTCTACTTGAAAATCAGAAGTCCTGAAAATGAAAACATAGTTATTTAATCATCATGCAAAGAGTGGTGATGATGCATGGAGCACTGGAGAACTTAATGAAGTCCAATGGGGTGTGGGGGTGAGGGCAGAGAGCAGGAGATGTAACTACGCAAATTGTAATATGTGATGATACTTACCAAATGGGTGGTTTCAGTTTAAACAGTCTCTCTGCTGCTTGCACTGCTTTACCAATGTCATTGGCCAACATGCTTACACTGAAGAACTGCCCGACATCCCAGTAATTGTTCATTTTTTCCAAACTCCCTTTTCTTCCCAACAAACTGTTCAATCGCACACCTTGACAAATTCACATAAAAACAGTATGTTACAAGGGGATACAGTGAACCTCAAAGACTGTAAAGATGATAATGTGCATTGGTAATCATGGGAAGTATAACCTCTAAGAGTGTTAGGTAGAGAAAAACTACACAAAGGGACACATTAAAGGACACATTCATACCATACATTTAAAACACTATGATATACTTTAAACAGTCATGGCTTCCTCCAAAGAATTCTGGAAACAGTGGTTTGTTAAGGGTGCTGTGAGTTGTTAGGAGACCCTCTATTCCCCTCTCATAGCTACAGTTTCCAGAGTTCCCTGTGAAGAGGGACTGTTAAACCATTCTGGGAATTGTAACTCTGGAAAGGGAATGAGCATCTCCTAACAATTCTCATTATGCTTAACAGACTACAGCTCCCAGAATTCTTTGGGAGAAGCAATGGCTGTTTAAAGGTGGTATGATAATGCTTGAAATGTACGGAGTGAATATGGCCTAAATGTCATTGGTGGGAAAGAAATTGCATTCTTCATATGGTCAAAGATACTAGTCATGGACCACTGCCCTTGCAGAAGTTCATTCTAGGAACGGGTGCTTACAACTGATGGCAAAACACTTGTGACATGCTTCACAGTGGGCTAAAACTACTATTCTTAAATACAGAATTCACTGCAACTTCAGTTCAGAACAATGGATCCAAAGGTCCAGCTCCACAACTGGAAATTTCCTTAATTCAATTGGACCTTTGGATCCAACCCTTTATGTATCTGACAATAATTAATAACCCTACTACTGCTGCAACAAGTTTTTGTTTTTGTGTTGTTCACCTATTTTCCTTAGTTCCATGGAGGTTTCAAACTGCTGCCCTGCAACAATCAGCAAGACTGCAAGGTTAATCCCAGAATACAGAGTTGACTGGAGCTCAAACCCTTTACGATACCTGCAGAGACAAGATTTAACAAACTGGAGAAGATACTTCCAAAGAAAAACATTTGAAGTTTCTCAGATCACAATAAAGAAGGCATGCCAGCCATTGTTGCAAACTATGGAAATGTGAATGGATTTGTTGTTGTTGTTCCAATTAATCTTATCTAGAAAGACAGGAGCTCATGATTTAATTGGGATTTAATTTTCTTCCCTCTCCCACAACATGAGAACTCGGGGTTAGTTGGTGAACCTGATTAGCAGCAGATTCAGGATGACAGATAAAAGGATGTTCTTTTTTCATGTAACAGATGGTTAATTTATGGAATTCACTGCCATCAAAAGTCATGATCTAAACAGCTTTAAAGTCAGACAGGTCAGTTAAATTTATTTGCTAAAACTTAGTCATCACAAAAACACCGAAAATCAAATTGAAAAATACATTCAGCACACTGGATCTCATTTTGTGTGATAAATCCATTGGGCAGCTAGAGCAAACACAGAAACGTTATATGTCATGGGCAACATCTAAAAATATCCACCTGCTTGCACAACAGAATCCACTTATGCAATGGGACTTCCTGTTTCTCTTCTTCCCCACTCCAGATCAGACTTTGAGAGCACATGGTAGAGGAGAGGAAGATGAAGCCCTGTTGCACGAGTGAATACCCACAAGTGCTCCATTGGATCTCACCCAGTATCTTGATTCCTATCGTCCAATAAATAATAGATTTTCTCTTTCCTGTTCAAAAAAGAATCTCTTTCAAAAAACTTTCTTTATGAGAATTATGTTTATGATACATACGAAGAGAAGTATCTTCTCTCCAACCACAAATGCATCGACAAGAATTTAGAGATATTCTTATGTCCCCTCTAAATATGCTCTGAGCAGAGTCTGAAATTTCAAAACAGTAGCTTCCTCCTCATTGCAACTCTACTTTTGGAAGACTGTAATAAGATGTAACAGAATACTAAAATGGTAAGAATTGCATAGTTTGAAGATAATATCTAGATAATGAAAGGTCCTATTCCTAACTCCCGTCCAACAAGAGGCTGGCTGGTAAGGAACTTGGTACTCCATGTGAAGTACTTTGCTTTCCATTTCATAATTACACAGATACAGTAAACACATTGCCACTCCTCTTACCATTCAATGGCTGTGTCCCGGCTGCTGGTGTCTTTACAGTCCGAATCAAGGAAAATGTCCTTGTAGATTCTCCCACACAAGCAGAACATGTCAGGTGCTGGGCGATCACATGTCTGCAAGACCTGCAGCATCACTTGCAGTGCCTTCCCCCGGTCACCTGTGTTGTTTCTTCTGAAATTCAGACAGAAAATCACATGAATAAGCTTGTACAAAGAACCATATATTTGTGTCTAACACAATTTATAACTCTGTCAATATGCACTAAACTGGGATTTGCCAATGGTGTGCCCATGAGCACAGTGGTCTCCCCTGGTGCCCACAAAGAACTCTCCCCACTCATGCACTGCCTCCTTTGTAATGGGAGTAGTTATTTCTCTCTCTCTCTCTCTCTCTCTCTCTCTCTCTCTCTCACACACACACACACACACACACAAACATAAAGCATATAAAAAATAGAAAAGGAAGCTGGAAGAGTGATGATGCTCTTTCCCACTTCCTCTTCCAGCTCTATGTGCATTTCAAGGCTCATATTAATTCTCCTGGATCTGACTTTTATCAAAATCCCTCATAAAGATGAAGTGTGTGCACATACTCTTTCTGTCCTAGGGGTTGAGGGAAAGCAGATCAAGGAAGAGAGAAGAGAAGTGGCCAGAGTAGGTAATAACAAAAATCCAAATGTCCCCTCAGGTGAAAAAAGATTGGTGACTCCTACACTAAATATACACAATAATTTCACCAGGCAACCTTAGTATGAAACTGTGTATAGAATTTCTGTTGGAGCTTTCCAGAGCTCTAAATGTGACATTCTGGATAGATTTTACACAAAAGATATGCAGCTACAGTGTACGTCCTGTCTCTGCTCTTTTCCTCTATACACTGATAAGTCTTCTAAAATCATGTCCTCTGTCATCCTGAATTGCCAGAAGTCAGATGAGTAGCAGCTATATTCAAACTAACAGAATGATTAGTTTGAAGTTAGTTTGTCAGGTTGTACACTTAGATGGGAAGAACCAGCTGCACAAATATAAGATTGAGGACACATGGCTTGCTAATAATAGTACATGTGAAAAGGATCTAGGAGTCTTGGTGGACCACAAGCTTAACGCAAGTCAATAGTGTGATGCAGCAGCAAAAAAGGCTACATCAACAGAAGAATAGTGTTCCAATCAAGGGAAGTAATAATCTCTCTCTATTCTGCCTTGGTGAGACCACAGCTGGAGTACTGTGTCTGGTTCTGGGCACCGCAATTTAAGAAGGATATTCACATGCTGGAACGTGGGAGGGAAATGAAGATGATCAAGGGTCTGGAAACTAAGACTCCCTGTTGAGGGAGCTAGGTATGTTTAGCCTGTAAAAGAGGAGACTGGGAGGAGATATGATAGCCATCTTCAAATATTGTCATATGGAAGATGGAGCAAGCTTGTTTTCTTCTGCTCTAGAGGCTAGGACCAGGACCACTATGCATTGCATCAGTGACAGCAGGTGGCACTTTCAATTATCTACCCAAAATGAAACAAAATTCAGTTCTGGCTGGAAAACATTACCAGCTGTAAACATTTATCATACAGTATTAGTACATGAAATGCAACCACACTATTTACAAATTACCTATGCTATGTTTTATTTGAAAATATTCAGAAGCAAACATTGCAGCACAAAGCTTGCTATGCTTAAGTAAGCAGAATAATTCCTTTCAATGATAAATTCAGACATGATGCAATTTTCAACCGACAAGGCAATTCTTGTTATGATAGCTTTAATACTGGATACAGTATACTGCCCAAACATACAAATACTTTCCCCCACAGTGATGTACTCTGTTGTCATATGCTGTCAACATCAATGATTACACATTTAAAGCAGCTTGATTAACAGGAGAAACAAAATATTCTCTTAAACATTAAAAAAAATACCGGGGGGGGGGGAATCAAATACCAAAAAATGAAGAGAACTATGCAAAACAGCAGAACAAAATAATTGAAATAGAAGCTGCACACATGCTCCATGCCAGAGTAACCTCACCAGTACACACCACCATCTAAAGTAACACAGTGCCAAACACACAGCTGCATAACCACGCCCTCCCTCTCTCCCACCCAGCTAGGGCCTTACTCTCTGCCATTTCAGTCTCTCATACTTATTGTTATTAAGCAAAATTATAAAACACAAAAAAGTTAGAACATAGAATCCCACTTTCAGCAGCAAAAACACAATTCCAGTTACCGCCCAATACTGTAATACATTGCTCACTTTCTCCTACTGGACAATAAATTCAACAATACAACATTAAAGAGGGAAGTGGTTAGTCGGGTGACCCTGAAGGGAAGACACCAAAGGGAAAATTAAAAGACACTTATCCCGCGTTAGCCACTTCTCCACTGCAGCAGCTGTCTTATCTAGCCTCTGGGCAGGACACAAGTCAACTAGCTGCAGCTGTTAAGAGTTGCATTTGAGAGACAACAAAAGGTAAAAGCTGTGAGACTGGTTTTGCATGGGGAGCTGCAACCCCCTCACTACTCTGTGATCCATTACTTGTGTGCTTCTCTCATACAAAATATTGCAACTCTTTAAAGAGGTTCCAGCTTTTACGTGAACCTAAAAGCCTGAACTACATTACCATTATCTGAACTTAATGAACTAACTACCCATTTTTCGGAATGCTGCCTCAACTTTATTTGGATGGCTATGAAAAGGGTGCACAAAAGCAGTAACTGTACCTATTCCTTGTTTATTATGAATGATACAAAAATAAAACTCAAAGCCTGTGTTACCAGGAAAAGAAAGGTATGCACCAAGATTAGTTCTGGAACGGCGTACAATACAGCTGAAATTTAAAAAGAAGATAGCTATTTATCTACTCTCAAAAGGTGACTGAGTTCTTCCTCAATTCATGTTGTCAGAAGAGTTAAAAAAATATAAAAACTGCATACAAGTCACTGAGCATGCCCAAAGTAGTCTTTAGAGTCCAGCCTATACCATACATTACGCATGTGTATATTGTTTAAAAGCTCTGAGAAGTTCCTCCAAAACAACATGATCACGGGAACCTTGTTTGGCTTCCTTTATAGAAAGTTGTTTGGCTTCCCTTATGGGGGTTTTTAAAAATCTTGATCTATTATGGAGCACCAAAAGTTGTTTCTTCTCTGTTACTACTCAACACCTTTTGTTATTGGAAAAGCTTTGAGGTGTTGGCTTAAAGGGCGCCTGTTGTCAGTCCTGGCAGTGACTCTGGCCATCCTTCATCATGTTCATCTACTGACAATATTTAGGCTATGACTTCAGCCTTGAAGCACCTGTCACCAGCAGTTTACTACCCAAGTTATCATTTATAAACATGACCTCTGTGCTATATTGCACAGTAATGAAAATGCAGGACAGCTGAGCCTATAATAAGTATGATGAAACCATTCACAAAGTAATTGGCGTTTAAAATAAGCACACACTGTATTTTAATATTGTGGCGTAAACAATCTTAGGTAATTTGCCTATTATAAATAACTTGGGTTGGGCTTAAACCGAAGCTGTACTGTGATAATATACCCTAGCATGTATTGGGTACTTTAAAAAAGGAAATCAAAAAATTGAGAGTAATTCTTGATTTTTTACATGTTTGTTCACTGTATTATTATTTTTTAAGTCAATGAATCCCAAAAGCAATTTAACAATAAAAAATATCAACATTAAAACATACATAAATACATTTTCTAAGCTAATCCCGATAAAGACTGGAATGAGAATCTTGCTTAAAAGGCTTGTTGAAAGAAGATCATATTCAATAAGTACCCAAAAAGGCAACAAGGGTATCTGTCTGATATACTGTATATTGGGAGAACATTGCAAGAGTATGTGGGGGTAAGGTAAAGGGGACCCCTGACCATTAGGTCCAGTCGTGACCGACTCTGGGGTTGCGGTGCTCATCTCGCTTTATTGGCCAAGGGAGCTGGCGTACAGCTTCCGGGTCATGTGGCCAGCATGACTAAGCCACTTCTGGCAAACCAGAGCAGCGCTCGGAAATGCCGATTACCTTCCCGGCAGAGTGGTACCTATTTATCTACTTGCACTTTGACGTGCTTTCGAACTGCTAGGTTGGCAGGAGCAGGGACCGAGCAACGGGAGCTCACCCCGTTACGGGGATTCGAACTGCCGACCTTCTGACCGGCAAGTCCTAAGCTCTGTGGTTTAACCCACAGCACCACCCGCGTAGCATGCACTAAAAACCCAGTTCTTACACTGTATGGAACAAACTTCCTAATGAGGTAGTTATCAGCTGGAGCCTCTCTCCTGCAGAGCACAGTGATCACTTAGAATATATGAGGGACAAGACAATCTGATAGTAAGAGCTGTTTGGCAGTAGAACAGACTCCCACAAGAGGTGGTGGACTCTCCTTCCTTGGAGGTTTTAAAGCAGAGATTAGATGGCCATCTGTCATGGATGCTTTATCTGGGATTCCTGCATTGCAGGGGGTTGGACCAGAGGGCATTTGGGTCCCTTCCAACTCTTAAGTTTGTATGATCTTTTTGGTCCCTGCTCCCGAGTTGTATAAGATTTTGTAGCCCAGCACTAGCACCTTGAACTTAGGCCAGCAGCTAACATGATGGCAATATTCTTCCAGTCTAGAAGCGGCCACAGTAGTCTTAGCAGCTAAAGCTTGTAAAGGGCATTCCTGGCCACTTAAGTCACTTGGGCCTCTAGTGGCAGAGATGGCTCCAAGAGCACCATGGGTTAAACTTACACTTTTAAATAAGAAGCTACATATACTTCCATTATCAGCCTACTAAGCAGAATCTAATCCAACAGAGTCTGTAGGAGGATTTAAAATATTTTCGGGGGGGGGGGGAGGGAAAGAGATACATAAGCGGTGGCTGGAAAGTCATCTGCTTAAGTAGAATGGATTGGGTGTGGAAATACACTGGGAATGTTTGGGTCACCTTCATGTAACAAATATCCGAGTCTGTGGTTGCAATTACAGTTTTAAGTTGAAGATGCCTTTGCACTAATGGAATAGTTACCTCTCTCTGTAAATGTATTCACACAGGAGTTAATCTTACCGATTCAGTGCAAACGCATAATGAAATTTGATATTGTGCTGATCAGCCAGATCACAAGTAGGGAGCATTTCCAGTGTTTCCACCAGCTTCACCATGGCATCATAGTCCTAACAGCAGTTTAA